AATGCTTTCTCCCTAAGGTGGGGAACAAGGGCAGATATGCCTACTCTTCATCTGTCCATGAAAGTTTGAAACATAGGCCCAAACCAAACTAGTCTGGCAATAAAATGACACAATTAGAATATGATTGGTGCCAGGTACTGTTAAACCACTTCACTTGTACAACTCATTTGATCCTCACAATGTATTGGTAAGTACATTTTATAGAAGCAGAAACTGAGGCACAGCAAGATTAATCTGCTCAAAGCCGCACAGCTACACAGTAAGCAAGAGGGCCATGCAGCGTGACTCCAGAGCGCCCACTACTGACCATTACGTGTCTTGCAGGTCTTGCTGGTAGCTAGTGGTGGTGATGGTGATGGTAGTGATGGTGGTGGTGGTGATGGTGATGGTGGTGGTGGAGGCCCGGGTAAAGGAAAGCAGAGTCGCCGAGGTGAACGCCTGAAGTACTCAGCGTGTGAGGGTGGCCACGAATTTGCAGAAGATTGCCTGGGAAGCAGGCCTGGATGAAAATGGGCAGAAAGCAGGAGAAAACCACCTCTCCCCAGGATGCTTGCATCCACCCAGTTACATTTACACTGTAAATATTATATAGCAAGTAACTGAGGTGTTTAGGAGATTTTATGAATGGCAGTGTCTTCATGATATGTAACGTATGAAAACGATGGCTGTCACTTTGGAGGTTTTACAAAGAGCCAGGAACTGCTTGTTGCACTTCTTTGGGCTGCTGTCCTCACTGCTGCGGCAGCTCTGCGGGCGGAGGGCTCCTTAATCCCACTTAATGGAGGAGCAGCCTGGGGCTCAGGAAGGGTAAATACCATCCTCTTGCTTTGTGTATCTGTGTGACTTCCCCAACTCTTAACCGCCTTACTGTGATGCCTCTCTGTCTACTGCCAAAGAGACTTTTGAGCAGGTATGTAAAGTGTGCTGTCATTTTTGTGAAAAGGAAAAAGAAAAAGAAATTCATTAATGAGCTACAACCAGTTGTTAACTTTCAGAGAGTAAAATGGATGAAGCAGGGGTAACACTCTGTTCCCTTTTGGCCTTATGAACTTTGTGTATTATTCCCATCCTTGGTAAGAAATTTATATATATATATTTTTTTTTTCTAAGAAATTAGAATATTACTTTTAGCTTAAATTACTTTGATTGTTAAAAGGGAAGCAACAGCCAAATTTACAAATTTAGACTATTTTAATATGTTCTAAAATATATATTTTTTGATCTGTTTCATATATTTTAAGATCTGTTGAAGATTTTTGAACATGTGGCAGCTCTGGAGAGTAATTTTGGAAAAGAGAATATACATGGTGTGATCAAACAATACAGTGAATGTTTAAATTTTTTAAAAACTTGCATGTTATAGTAAGAGACACATTACCAGTAATTCCCTTCACAATATTCCCCCTTGCTTCCAACGCAGTTCCCCATTATCCTTGCCACTTTCTAAACTTCTTTCTGGAAGTCCTTTTTTGTGAGTGTCTTTACTTACACTCTCATAGCTGCCCTGATGTCCTGAATCCATTCAAAACATTTCCCTTTCATGGTCATTTTGACTTTGGGGAAGAGCCAGAAGGTGCATGGTGCCAGATCCAGTGAATAAGGTGGATGAGGATACATAGTAATTTTTCACTAGCCTGCCTTTCTGTTGGATGGCACTTGGCAGCAGCATTCACTGTATTTTAAATCACAACTTGTTTTTTAAAATTTTTATTTTTATTAGTACATGTTTATAGTACATGTTGGTATACGTACATAACACATCTTAATTTTTTTACATTTAATTACACCTTGTAAAGATCATGAAAGTGAACTTCAAGAACTGCTTCAGAAAGTGCGATGATAGTATAAGTTTGTTTGAAGCGAAGGGAGTTATTTTGAGTGGGATTAATGGCAATGTGTATTTTACTGTAATAAATGTCCTTTTAAAAATTTAAACATTTACTGTATATTTTGATCACTCAGGCCAGGGATTTAGCTCAGAAGATCTATTTTGATCACTCCTTGTAGGTCAGGTTTTGTTTACTCTTTTTTGGTTGTTTTTATTTGCTCCATTTCTTCCCTTTCATCATTGTTGACATCCCATGGGGAGCCATGGGCATATGGCTGCTGAGTTAGCAGTGTTTTCCTCTATTTGTTTCCAAAGCACATGGTTAATTACCATGCTACTTCACTCACTTGTTATATTTCTTGTTTGCTTCCCTTCTTCCTCCTGTCACTATATGCACCAGAAGAACAAGGGTTTTTTTTCCTTCTGTTTTGTCCACTATTAGAGCCCAAGCAGTAGAACAGTTTCTGGAGTAATGCAGATGTTTCATATCTTTGTTGAATGAATTATAATTTTAATACAGACTTTCAAAAAAATCTGTAGCTTCTTTTTTCACATCTTTTTTATTAGTGCATATTAGTTATGCAGATTAATGGATTTCATTTTGGCAAATTTGTACTTGCACATAACTTACTGTCTTAGTTACTTTCTCAGTGCTGGGGTAAAATACCTGACAACCACAAGTTAAAGGTGGAAAGGTTTACTTTAGCTCACAGTTTGGAGAGGTTTCAGTCCATAGTTGGCTGGCTCCAAGGCAGAGCAGCATGGCAGAGGAGAAACAGTCTATGGCATAACAGGCAACAAGCAGCTAGCAATAAACCTTCCTTTCCCTTTTTATTCAGTATAAGCCTATTGGTTGGTGCCATTCACACCCAGGGTGGGCCTCCCCATTATCCACAACAAGAACCAATCAGTGGACTAATCCAGTTATCACACCCATAATCCAGTATCACACACCCATGATCCAGCCACCTCTGAAAAGCTCCACCTATGAGTGCATGAGGCTTTGGGGGAACATCTAGATATAAACCATTACACATACTTTGATCATTTTTGAAAGCAGTTTTAGGCTCACAGTAAAATTAAGCAGAAGACACAGAGATGTGCCTCCTTCCCTACCTATACAAGCCTCCCCTACCATCGACATCCCTTCCCAGAGTGGTACATTTGCTATAAAGGCAACATGGATAGGTCATTATCACCCAAAGTCTATAGTTTACATTAGGGTTCACTCAGCATTGTACGATCTGTAGATTTTGACAGATGAACAAATGACATGTGCCCAATTTACCCACCATATAGTATCATGTACAATAGATACATTTACTTAAAAATCCTCTGTACTCTACTTACTCATTCCGTCCATTTTCCTTCACCTCTTATAAATGTGGATCTTTTGTCTCCATAGTTTTATGTCACACACAATGTCATAGGGTACTTTTTATTTAGGAAAAGGCATCTAATGTTCTTTTAATGGTTGAGTAGCTCATTTCTTTTTAGTGCTGAATAATAGCCCACATCTATATCATTTTACTTCTCCAGTGAATTATATTTTTAAACCAAAAGGTGAGATAAACAGAACTCAACTTCTAAATTAATAATAGAGTTGCTCCAAGTAGACTTCAGGAACTGGAGAATAAATGGTGGTGAAGTGGCCCCTGGATGGAAGCTGCATCCATTTGCCCATTCATCTAGTGTGCCCAGGTGCCTGTTTTGGGCATCTGGGTGCTGGTTACTAGCAGCTATGGGAGACAGGATCCCAACCCTACCTTCTCCCTTGCCCTCTGGCAGGGTGCAAGGGGTGTGACCACAGCCTGTCTGGCAGGCTCTGCAGGAGTCCAGGCAGGGCTCAGGACAGCCAGCCGAGTGACCCCAGGCAAGGTGGAAGCTCATTTGTGGTTCTCTCTACACAGATTGAAGAAGGGGGCAAGGCCGACTTGGTGAGCTCCAAACTGCGAGCTGGGGACGAGGTTGTACACATCAACGAGGTGGCACTGAGCAGCTCCCGGAGGGAGGCCGTCTCCCTGGTGAAAGGATCCTATAAGACGCTCAGGCTGGTGGTGCGCAGGTAGGTGTTCCGCCTCCATGCTGCTCCTCTGGTCACTTCACTTGCCTTTCTGCCCTGTCTAACCTGGGGGAAAGAGTGCAGGGTTGGCAGCTTAACTTCAGACATGCATGTGGTGGTGGTGGGGTGTCCTGTGCCTTTTCTTCTTTCTCTTCTTTGTGCCCACTTGTTTCATGTGAGGAAGAAATGGGGTGAGAAGACATGGCAGACACTGTATGCCCATCTTTGGAAGCACTCCTTTTCCTAGAAGGCATTGGCTTGTCACAGAGTGGCCTCAGATTACCTCCCAACCTTCTGGGTGATGGGAAGTGACACTCATCCCAAATGTGGTCAGCAGAGGCATTGGTGGTATAGTGGTTAGGACAGCTGCCTTCCAAATGTGGTCAGCTCTAAGACACTGTGTCTCCTTGGACTAGAGAAGTGATTGCTATAGAGATTTAGGTGCTATTCTATTAGCCATTGCTAATCCACAGAGTTCAAAACAGGCGGATTCCTCTTTTATCTTCTGGTTTCAATGGTGGTAACTCCTCTGTTGGCAAAAGCTTGGTTGTGATGGGTTTTAACGTCTTAAAGTAACAAGTGTTGCACTCCTCTGAACCAGTCCTTGGTGGAAGAGATTCTGTATGGAAAAGGGAATGGAATCAACCTTTTTGTACATTTTTATTATTACAAAGCAAGCACTGTCTAAAGACTTTCACATATGTTAATTCATGTGATCTACACAAGAACCCCTGGAGATAGCTGTCACTAGCTCCACTGTCCCTGAGAGGTTAAGTAAGTTGTTGCAGGGAGCAGAGATGTTAAATGGAAAAGTAGGACAGTCCAGATTACCTGGTCCTGCTCCATTGTGCCACTGAGTGTCACTGCCTTGACCTACTAAGCCCCTGGCCCACACATTTTGGCTATTTCTGCATCAATCAGGTTTCATCTGCCTCACATGGCAACTGATGTTACGGCATTTGGGGATGTTCTGGTTGACTGGAACCTTATGAGCTATCGATTGTGCCCCATTTTCTTTTTTTTTTCATTAAGTTTATCAGTACATTTTCGGTGTACATTATGATGACATTTATCATTGGGAATTTGTACCTTTACATGTTATATCTTGGTTCTAATTTTTCCCTATTCCCCTGCCATCCCTTCACCCCCTTCATCTCTCCCTATTTACAAAGACTTTGTTTCTATTTTTTCCTTTTCTCGTATTTTTTCCTTTCCTTTCTTTCCTTTCCCCTACTCCTCCCACTTCTTCCTCCCCTTTAGACCTTTTCTTTCTGTTTCACATTATCTATTATACATTTTGATTATTTACATTTTCAGTTTCTCACACCAGAGAAACTATTCGGTATGTACATGTCTGTTCTATTTTTTCACTTAAGAGTATGGTCTCAGGGCCAGGGATTTAGCTCAGTGGTTTCACTGCCTGGTGCACAAGTGCAAGGACCTGACTTCAATCCCTGGCAAAAAAAAAAAAAGGGCCGGGGATTTAGTTCAGTGGTTTTGCCGCCTGCTGCGCAACCACAAGGACCTGAGTTCGAGCCCTGTTACCAAAAAAAAAAAAAAAAAAAAGAGTATGGCCTCAATGTGCATCCATTTAGCTATAAATGATTCTAGTTTCTCATTCTTTATGGCTGAGTAGTACTCCATTTTATTAAAAAAAAATCTTTATCCAGTCTCCAGTTGATGGACACTTGGGCTGTTTCCAAGTTTTAGCTATTACAAATTGTGCCACGATAAACATGGGTGCACATATATCGCTGTGGTATGATTTTTTAAAATTCTTTTGGGAAGATACCCAGCAGGGGAATAGCTGGGTCAAATGGGGCCTCTAATCCTAGTTCTTTGAGATATCTCCATATTGATTGCCACAGTGGTTGCACCAGTCTACACTCCCACCAGCAGTGGAGCAGGGTTTCTCTTTCCCCACAGCCCCACCAGCATTTGTTATTGGTTGACTTTTTGATAGCAGCCATTCTTTCTGGAGTGAGATGGAATCCCAGTGTTGTTTTCATCTGCATCTCTCGAATGACCAGTGATGTTGAACATTTTTTCATATGCTTATTTGCTGCTTTTACTTCTTTGTCTGAGAAATGTCTGTTCATTTCAGATGGATTGTGCCCAATTTTCAAGCTGTGGAAGGCAAGTGGGTCTCTCCTTACACCACAGATGGTTGCTCATGGCACCCTTCACTGCTGTGTTCATTATGAGCCCTGATTCAGGGAACAGCAACTCCTCCTAACCAAAGAGCCAAAGCCAAGGGTGTGATCCACTACATCCCCAGGCTGTGGCTATTCTCTCCTCAGTGTGCTTGTCTTGTCTTGTCCTGCTTCTCTGGCTGTCAGTGGTGTAGAGGCTCCGTGCAAAGTCTCCAGAGTCAGATCAGCCCGGGGTCTGCATTTCGGGGCTACAGTCTCCCAGCTGTGGCCCCTGGGACAATTCCTTAACCTCACTGAATATTCAGTTTCTTCATCTTTAAGTGAGGATTAAAATACTTTATGCCAAGATAAGGAAACAACCTAAGTATCCATCAAATAATGAGTAGGTAAAGTAAATGTGTATGGTATATATGTATACATAGATATGTATACATAATATAGAATATTATGTATTGTAGAACTATATACAAGAGATAGTATGTGTACATATATCATTATTTAACATGCATATATACATATACTAATATACTATGTACACTATTGTATATAATATGTGGCATATAATATATTGAATATTTGTATTATATACTAGTACTGTATTGTATATACATTGTATATACTCACATACCAGAATACTGTTACCCATGAAAGGGAAGGAGATTATACCATCTGACAACATGGATGAAATAGAAGAACATTATGTTGAAGCACAAAAGACAAATCCTCTAATCAGTCATATTTGAAAGTGGGAGTGGAATGCATGGTTGCCAGGGGATGGGCATGGGAGAAATGGAGACAGGCTGGTCAAAGGATATAAACTGTTAGTTGTGAGTAAGTTCTAGGGGTCAAATGCATAGTCTAGTGACTACAGTTGATAATACTGTTAATAATACTGTGTTATATACTTGGAACCTTCTTTGAGAGTAGATCTTCAGTGTCTACAAATACACACAGACAAGTGTAACTGTGTGGTGATTAATTTGATTATGGTAATCATTACACGATATATACATATATCAAGTCCTGCCATTATCCATTCTGAATATACACAATTTAAGGGGAGGAGTTGCAAGCATCAAGTCTAGGGTCTGGCATATGCTAAATGCACCTTCTACCTCTGAGCTCAGATACTGTCTCACTGGCTCTGGACAATGGTTATTTGTCACTTATGCTTCAATAAGGGTTGGGGAAAGGGCTAGGGATTTAGCTCAGTGGCACTGCGCCTGCCTTGCAAGCACAAGGTCCTGAGTTTGGTCCCTGGTACTGGAAAAATAAAAACAAAACAAAAACAAACAAACAAAAAGATTAGGGGAAAGTCCAACCTCCCTACAAGGTTATTGGACAGATTAAATGTAATACTCTATACCAGGCACATCCAACCTGTGGCCTGCAGTCTATGGCAACATGTGACTGTGGACAGCTAGCAATGTGGCCCCACAAAATGGTATACTTTTAACATTACGATGTCATTTTTAGCAAAGTTTTCGTGACTCATTTTCATAGTGCTCTCACACAGACTGTGCAAGTGACAACGGAACTCCTTGCTGAGACCAGAGAGGTACAGGGCTAACTCTGGCTCCTGCACCCATCACATGCAGGCTGTGTGATTGAAACCCACATTTCATGCACATGTGTGACTTGGAGAGCAAATGCAGTTATTCCCAGTGGTAGTATTTCAACCCACCTATGTATGTGTGTGCCTGTAAAGACAAGGATGATTGTTATTAAGCAGATAAACATGTAAGTGATCATTAAACTTGGGCTTGCTTGTGATTTTATAAAATAATTTACCAAGTTGAAATACATTTTAAAAAGGAAATTTTGTTCCCTATATATATTAACTATATTATATATTTTATATATGGCCCAAGACAGTTCCTCTTCACTCAATGCAGCCCAGGAAAGCCAGAAGGTTGGGCGCCAATGCTCTCCATAGTAGCAAGAAATCTTCTGGCATTATTTATTTATATTGTTACTGGACAGATATACATATAGGCCTATTCCTCTAGGCCAAGATTTGAGTAAAGCAAGCATTTCAAACATAGGGGCTGAGTTTTCAAACAGATGGGTAGAGAGGCTCAGAACTCTTAGGCCTGTTCCTCGAGTCCAGAAGAGTATTGAGGGTATTGCTTCTAGAGGCAAGGACGGATATTCCTCCCCTCACCTCTCCAGGATCCCAGTAGAAGCCTCTTTGCTTGGGATTTATCTGAGCTGTCACTTGCCTGAGAAGTCTCACCTTTATACTTGGCATACATCAATCATTGTCTGAGCTTTCATTTCCTTCAGTTTAATTGAACTCACCTTGGCACTGGAACCCAGACCCTATTTGAGAGCACTGGCCTTTATCTGTTGAAGCCAGCTGGTGGAATGCATATTCCTGATGTGTCCTGACCATCCTTGATGATGGATTAATTCTGGCAAGGTCCCCTGTTTGCTGCTCTGAAGAGTAGTCATGCTGCTTTCTAGATGGGCTGTGTAGCTGGTGAATGCATGAGATTTGAATTACTTCCTCTAGCAGGCTTCTTGGAAATATGCTCCTGTAGTTGAAATCTGGTTTTGTCATTTGCAAATTATATGAACTTGGACCTCTCTAGACCTCAATTTCTTCATTTTTTAAAATAGAAATAATCCTGCCTCGAAAGAGCATTATAAGGATTTTAATGAATAAAGTGTAAGTGCATAGATGTGCAGTATTTCATCATTATCTGGACTGGTTTAGAGAGAGGCATGTGGTGATATGCAGGAGTATTCCCATGTTACCAGGTGTGTTGGCTGCCTGATTGTCCAAAGTCCACTTTATTCCTGTGGCGAATTCACCACCATTTAAGTGCTACCCAGTTTAGAGGTCAT